AACTCAGGATCTTGTGCTTGCCAGTCAGGCACGGGGCCACTGGGCTAAATTCCATTGTATCTTCTTACAGTTTAAGATTTTGCACTTAGGTATACATGCTGCTGAGGAAGCAACATTTACATACTAACTCAATTTTACCCACCAATTCGAGCCACTACTTTGTGGGTTATAACAATAAATAGTTTTTTAATCTGAAAATTATTTAAAAAACCCAAAAGTCTTGTGAAGAATTGCACTTTTCTCCTGGCACGTGATTGAGAAAGGAACTCATAATTTCAGAAAATGGCTGTGTTTGGTACAGTAGATTTTATGAAAACAACTCAGTATTTGGAAATACAGTGTTCATTTAACAATTTTCTTTTTTATTTTGTTTTACAGTGAAGCCTGCCTACAGTTTTCACAAATCTGTATCCTTTCAGTGAAGAATTTAAATATAGATATACTGTATTTTTACTTCTCTTCTGACTCATAAAATTTCTTTTCTTTTTTTTTAAGAGGAAAATTTTATTGAGAGAAAGATAGTTTGTAAGAGAGACAGAAGGAGGACCAGAAAATGGGTTACTCACCGACCCTGTTTCTCAGATGTTTTATGGGACAAAGCCACAAGGTGAGGCAGGCAGGTTCAAGGTGGGACAAAACTATTGTCACAAAGTAAGATTTCAGGTAGTATCAGTCACTTAGGTAATGTTGGTCCAATGAGATATCACAAGGTGGGCAAAACTGTGATCAACCAGTAGGATTACGACTGTGTAGTTGCTTAGTTAATATTGATTAGATGGTGATCCATAGGAAAACACTTCACGTAGCAAACTTACAAGGATTTTTGTAGCAAGCTTAGCAGGATGTAACACGCTTACTGGGATTTTCAGTGATCTTTCGTGGAAGGGGTGGATAAGGTCTTAGTCTCCCACCCAGGTGATTGATACCTATTTAGAATATCAGTCATTGATATTCATCCTTAGCATGCAAGTGTGATAGTTTCTCTCACAATGCTGGCCTTCAGTGAATGTGTCTTGATTGTCCTCCATGTTGGCTCCTCACAGGCTGGCCCTGTTTAACTGCCTACAGGATATTTAATTAACTTACCTATCTACAATATTCCCCCCTCTGAAGAGTTACCACTAACTGCTCTGAGGGGGCAAGTGGCAAAGACCATTCAGGCTATTTTAGGCTGAAGAGGGTCATAGTTGTGATCAGCAGTCACAGTTATTCTCTAGAGAGTTTATCTAAAGTCCCTTGATAGGTGCCAGGCATTGTCATTTTGGGTAGGTGTATACCTTTGAGTCTGGAGGAGAAAAAGCCAAAGAAACATTAAAAATACATAGGTCAAATAATAATGCCAGCAGCATTGTTAGTAGGTTTTTTTTTGTTTGTTTCTTTGTTTGTTTTTGTACTGGGGATCAAACTTGGGACCTTGCGCTTGCAAGGCAGGTGGCAGAACCACTGAGCTAAATCACCAGCACAGGATGTTTTGAATATAGCCAACAAACATTTTCACCAGGAGGAACTAGTAATAATCTCCCACAAAGAGAATAAGGAAAAGGTCCAGGGACTTCAGAATCTGACATAGAAGTCGAATTGGGGTTTAGCAGTTATGAACTGTTTACAAAATTGGATTCTGGTAAAAGAAGTCTAACATGTTCATCACTGGTTCTACTTGTATGACCACTTGGAGTTTGGCAGCTTCTGGGCAAGAATAAAAATTTAAGAAATTTGGAAAGGGAGATTGGGGAGAGAGTCACACTTTGAAACTGAAATGGTGATTATAACCTGCTGGTTCCTAAGTCTGATATTTTGTCACAAGTCTCTAGTTTTAGCTGTAAGAAGATAGAGACAATTTGAAGAATAATTTTAGCCAAGAAATTTTAAAATTCTAGTTGAGCTCTTACACATTTTACCATAGTTTTTTCCTAATGATCCATAATCATGGTCATCTATTGATAAAGCTGGAAACTGTCAGAAGGTGTCAGTGAATAGAGCCCCTTTTTTGTGTATCACATTATTACTATGGCGTTGTTTTTATACATCTTTTGGTTATTCTTTCCTGCTGTGTGTTTAAGAACAAATTAAAGTGAGACCTGTGGCAATCAGTGTGAACCTCTTGCTATCTATACTGGTCAGTTAAGTCTCCTCAGGCATTACTTTGGAACCATGCATAGAGCCTCTCAGCTCCTCTGTCAATGTCAGCTGTAAGGACAGGTCACAGCCTTGCGTGACCATGTTGCTTTCGGTGGAAGCATAGACTTTCCTCTTGGTGACCCTTCTTTGGCATGCAGTACATTTGTGGATTTGGTGTTCAGCAATCTCCCTGCTCCGGTGGTTGGGTGACTTACCAAAGATGTAGGATTTGGTGGGGGGGTACCGGGGATTGAACTCAGGTCCTTGAGCTTGTGAGGCAGGCCACCGAACCGCTGAGCTAAATCCCCAGCCCAATGTAGGATTTTTTAGGAAAGGTTCTCTCATTTGCTGGATCTTTGTTGACCTTGGAGGGCAAGGGCCACAATATTGGCTGTCCTCTTACCCCAGTTACCTTTCTAGTTTTGGACTCTAAACTTTAGTTGTTGAATACCCAGAAGACAAGATCAGTGACATTAGCATTGCAGTGGGAACAGTGAGTTTAACTCTTATAATTTTACTTTAATATCAAGTACTTTGAAATAAAGTATATTGTGAGACTTATTTTTATCAAGCATCGTTGTTTTAAAAGTTGAATCCCTATAGTATGTTAACACATAATATATAGAGAAACTTAAGATCAAGTGGCTCAAAATTTAGAAATTATTTTTCTTAGGAAATATTTTTTGTTGTTGTTCTGGGGATTGAACTCAGGACCTTGCGCTTGTGAGGCAGGTGGCAGAACCACTGAGCTAAATCCCCAGCCTTACATTCTTTTTTGTGGAAACTTCACATTACAAAGCAATCTTTGAGAAAATATATTGTAGCTTAATGGGAAAATAGGGGCCTTTTTTGTTTTTTTAAATGAGAATGTGAAGCAGTATTGTTGAAGGATTAGAAGTAGCTGACAAGCATCTGGTAGAAATAAAGTTATGATAGAGGAGAATGTGGTATATGTTCAGTCAAATAGGTTTTAGGCATAATGTTACAGTAGTTGAAATTATTCATAAATGTGTTTCTGGATTATATTATGAAATGCACATAACTACTTTATGTTGCCTTCTTTCAATAGGATTTTCTAAAAAGATTGTAATCTTGTTTTACATGAATTGTTAGACTTAACTGAACTGTACAGATCCCGTAGTGTGTGTTCCATCCAGTTTCTTTATTGGAGACAGTGGTATTCCTTTGGAAGTAATAGCAGGAAGTATTTCTGCAGATGAACTTGTTAAGAGAATTCACAAAGTTCAACAGGTAAGAATAGAACTGTTATTTGCATAAAGAAAAATAAACTTGCATATGGTGCACACCTGTAATTCCAGCACTTTGGGAGGTTAAGGCAATTGAATTGCAAATTTGAGCCCAGCCTGGGCAGCTTAGAAACTTACCCATTACATGTCTCAAAATTAAAAAAATAAAAAGGGGCTGGGATATAGCTCAAGGCACAAGTCTTGAATTCAGTCCCTAGTACCAGGGAAAGGGGAGTGGGGAATGATGAAGAATTTGACATTGGAATATTTTTGAAGGTTGTCTGTATATTCAGGAACCTGATATACTATTAAACTTAAAAGTACTGTAATAGTTTTTTTTGTTTTTTGTTTTTTGTTTTTTGTTTTTTTGGTACCAGGGATTGAACTCGGGTCCTTGGGCTTTCAAGGCAGGCTGAGCTAAATCCCTGGCCCCAAAAGTACTGTAATAGTAATACCATCTTCCTGGACTGTTTATTTTGTTTTGGGTTTTTTTGTTTTCTTTTGGTAACAGGGATCGGACTTGGGACCTTGGGCTTGCAATACAGGCGGTGGCACCACTGAGCTAAATCCCCAGCCCATTTTGGGTTTTATTTTTGTTTTGAAATGGGGTCTTACATTGCCCAGTTTGATCTTCAACTACTAGGTTCAAGCAGTCTTCATGCCTCAGCCTCTTGAGTAGCTGAGAGTACAGATGTTACAGATGTATGCTAAGAACACTGGCTGAATTGGTTTTGAAAATAGCATTTTTTGTTTGTTTTTTGTTTTTTGATACTGGGGATCAAACTTAGGACCTTGTGCTTGCCAGGCAGGTAGTGGAACCACTGAGCTAAATCCCCAGCCCGAAAATAGCAATATGAAGATACAGGTGACACCTAATACTTGATGGACTTCTTTTTTCTTTACCTGCTATCCCAGCCACATAATGCATATTACTATATTGTTGCAGGAGAGGTCTCTTACCGCGTTAAAATTCTAGCTATACATTATGTGGCATATTTTAGGGACTTTACACTCAGTTTCTCACTTTCATGCAAGCTTGTAGTTGAATTCTATAATGTGATGATGTCACATTTAGGATTATGTATATATAGGATTATATATTTTA